AGATAGATAGATAGATAGATAGATAGATAGATAGATAGATAGATAGATAGATAGATAGATAGATAGATATGTGTATCCATTGAAAATTACTGGTACATAAATTAGATTTGTTCTGACTTGGACTTATTTGTCTGTTGTCCTGAGACAACCTTTGTTGTGAATTGACAGTATAAAAACTAAATTAGACTCAGATTCAGTGTTGTAACAGTAATTTGAGTGACATGGAGTGATTTGCGTCTCTTTAACATTATAAGGACGTGTCCTACGATGACTCCATTATGGATTTCAATTCCGACGCTGCTAACGGGATTGCAATGGAAGGTTACCTTTATAAGAGGGCCAGCAACGCTTTTAAAACCTGGAACAGGTACAACATTTTAATAATCCTTCATGTTGAACGGCTATGATTGCCTCTGTTTGAGACTCTCACGTGCATGATTTCTTACTTTCTCCACTTTAGACGTTGGTTTTCAATTCAGAAAAACCAGCTGGTGTATCAAAAGAGGTTTAAGGTGAGTTTGCGTGAGCGATTAAGCTTCTCTAATGCTTGATCACAGAGCTCACAAGCATGAGCAGCGGTAACTGTTCGCTCTTCCTGTCCGTGAAACGTACAGGACCAGCCCACCGTTGTGGTCGAGGACTTGCGTCTTTGCACGGTCAAGCCCAGCGCTGAGAACGAGAGGCGGTTCTGCTTTGAAGTGGTGTCTCCGTCAAAGTGAGTTTGCGTGGAGGCGCAAGGCTCCATGCGGTCGTTGTGTGTACATGTCGTCAGGTGTGTGGATTAACATGTGCTGCAAGTGGGGTGGGGGTGTTTTTTATTTTACTTTTTTCGTTAAACTTGCCAGTGACCTTTTCTTGTGTGCTGACAAGTTAAATGATGTGTGTGCGTTTGGATAGGTGTTGTTTGTTGCAGGCGGACTCAGAAAGGCAGCAGCAAGCGTGGATCAGCGCAGTCCAAAACAGCATCGCCTCGGCCTTTCAGGAGTGCAGAGAGGACACGCACAGTCCAGTGAGGACACACTTTATTTATTAATCTTTCATCTTCTAAATTTGCATTTTCCTAACTCCTCTGTGTTCATGCAATCAGAGGCAGCGCTGCAGTTCTGTGTCAACAAGTAGTTTAGGGGGCAGTGGAGGATGCGTGGATCAGGAGAACGAGGGATGCAAGGCGCTGGACGAGATCCAGACAATCCCAGGGAACAGGCAGTGCTGCGACTGCGGAGAGCCCAGTCCTGAGTGGGCCTCCATCAACCTGGGCATCACGCTGTGTATCGTCTGCTCAGGAATCCACAGGTAGATGTGACACTTTACAAAATATTATTTTATTGTTTTATTCCAGTCCAGCGGCGTCATGAGTCAGCACCGAGTCCCAGGTCTAGATGCTCAAAGAGAAGAAACATTCCTAATGACGTTTAGTGATGTATTTCACAAAGTTATTAAAATCATAGTTTATCTGAAGCCACAGAAATGTCCTTATATACCAAATGTCCCCACTTGAGTGGTTCAAGTTTGCAGGTCCCCACTTAGATAGTTGGACAAGTACACACACACTTCTATTGTAATGGTTTCCATTTCCCACCAGGAGCCTAGGAGTACATTTTTCCAAAGTTCGTTCCCTGACTCTGGACTCCTGGGAGCCCGAGCTCATTAAGGTAATTGAACCGTTTTGTTTGTTTGTTTTAAAGAGCTACACAATTATTATTTTTTTTCTATTCCTTGAAAAAGTTAGAGATCTTCTAGGGATGACATTTTCTCCTAAAAACATTTATCACAGATAAAAGATTAACTTTTTATTATTTTCCTATTTCCCCAAGTTAATGTGTGAGTTGGGAAATTCGGTGATCAACAGGATCTACGAGGCTCGGATTGATGAGATCACCATCAAGAAGCCTCACCCAACCAGTCCCAGGTACAGAACCGTTCATATGGTCCAGTCATAGATTAAAGGTTGTTTCTACTAATGGTACACTTGCATTTTTTTACAGCACTTTTCTTTTTCTAAGGCATACTGTATATCTCCCTATGAGTTCTAGGTGAAGGTAGCGCAGGTTTAATTGCACATTTGGTTGTTTTAGCAGCAACGCTCTTATAAAACCTCCCGAATAATTTTTTTAATGAGGCCTGTTGAAGCTGTAATCCAAGATTAATAACATTTCGATGAGCTGCAAAGTAACAATTGTCCTACCCAGAGTTCTTGGAGTTTGCCTCAGGTGAGAGGAAAGGCGAGCGGTGGCATCCACGGATACAAAAAGTTTAATATGAATGCTATAACTGTCAGCAGTTCTCAAAGGTCCACGAGGTTATTTTACATCTTGTGTGCAACCTAAACCTCTATAACGGAGCAGACGCAGCAGCTACACGCACCTGATTTAGACCCCATTCATATAAAAACACACAAGCTAAAGCATTGAGTTAAAGAACAGCTTGAACAGTTGCTAAAATCCAAATGTCTTACAGCCTCAAAGAGAATCTGTAAGGATGGTTGATTAGACGCCTACATATAGGAAGCAGTGTTTCCCCTAGCTCATCTCTTCTGACATTTTTTTTTTTTTACCAGGAGTGGGGGGGGGAGACGGAGACACGTCTGTGTTGTGCGCTGTTTGCGCCAACAGTCATTGACTATTGAAGGAAACGGCTCAGCGTAAGGGCAACGGAGCGCTACCTCTGTAGCTTTTTAGCTAGTGCATCTGTATTGCACACCGCTAGTTGAGCGCTATGGCAGTGCCATCAGTTGTTGAATGAGGGGGGACAGTTCGGTAGGCAGGACGCTCAGTTCTGTTGACAGGGCAGGGCACCCTCCTTGGATAATGGGAGGGGAAACACTGGGAAGGTTTGACACAGCTGACCCAAAATGTACGATTAAAGTCGAAAGTGTCAGGACCTGTTTTTTTTGGGGGTGGGTGGGTATAGGTTTATATTTATTTCCTTTATTGGTTTCTGCCTCGGGTGTTTCCACTTCTATCATCAGCTCCTGTCCATAAAGTCCCTAAGCTTCTTACTTTACCATCAGTCAGGCATTGTGTGCACTGTACACTGTTTCCGGTTTTCCTTGTTATTTTTATTATTTAGTATTTTTTGCTGCCACCTCAACCTCAGCCTTTTGTTTGTTTATTGAAGCTTAAAGTTTTTTTTTTGTTTTTTTTTGTACTTGAGCTTCTCATGTCTGGCTTCATCCTTCTCCTCAAATCATGACAGAAAGCACATCGACCAAACAATTCACTCATAAGTTGAAAAGATACATTTAATCGACAATTAAAATGTCCGATTTGTCGAATATATTTATTCCTCCATTTCCCGGCATCCCCTAACATTGTGCTACTGAAGTATTAAACTTGTGGAGTAAAATCTCAAATCTAAAACTTCAGAAAGAAAAATTACAAGTGTATTAATTAAGAGTTAAAAAAAAAAGCTATATATAGGTATAGGCTATATATTTTTTTCTATAATACCGGTAGTTGAAACATAATTTATCATTGTTTGGACTTTCCACCTTTTAGGTTTTAAAAAGAAAAAAAAAAAATACTATAAAGTTTATTTTTATGTTGTTCCGTTCCATTTCTGTTGGTTAAAAGTCCTTATTTTCATGCTCTCTTGTCTTTAAATTTGCTTCCTGCTTTTTTGTTGAAACACTGTTTAGGGATGCACGATATTATCGGCATGGTATCGGTATCGGCCGATATTAGCTTTAAATTTCAATATCCGACATTCCATTAAAATAACTCGCCGATATAAAAGGTGCTGTCTTTGCCTGCAGCGGCAGCGCAACGCGATGACGTCACTTGCACCTACCCAATCTCACGGCGGAGAGGAAAATTCAAAATGGCGGCGTGTGGAAGTTTTATTTTTCGTTGGTGAGGATGTCGGGTTCCGAAGATTTATGGACTACATTGAGCCTCGCTACATCGTCTGCAGTCAGATATTTTTCCGACGTAACCATACCCGAGTTACAAGCCATCATTTCTGACGTCATTGAGAAGCTAATAGCCAATAGTATGACTTGTTGGGTGAGTTTTACCACAGACATTAGGATGTCGTGTTAGCCCCGTTAGCATGATTAGTCACAATGGACAGACAAAAACTTTGAACTTAAAAAGTCTGTCCTTCATGCACAAGACTGCAGAGGATCCCACACTGCAGCTAGGAACATGGAACAAGCCTCCACAAGTGAGACAGCATCGCAGGTGACTAATGCTAATAAATAACGTTTAACACTTTTCATTTAATAAAAGTTCAAGTGCTATGCATATCATATGGCTGTTGCTGAATATATGTCACCAGCTCTTACAGATGTTACACAATTTTTGTAGCACATAAGCCTAAATAAGAGGGCTATGTTCTGACAAAGGAAAGTATATTAAAAGTATTGGTATCGGTTATCGGCCATAACATATTTGCGTATTGGATATTGGCCAAAAATCCAATAGCGTGCATCCTTTATATACATATTATATATATATATATATATATATATATATATACACACACAATAAATATTTACCCATTTTGTTCTAATTTATTTTTAATTAATTTTTCACCCTTTGGTAAGTTTTGATGGTTTAACAGCTTTGGTGCAACTTCAGAAATATCTATAATAACTTCACGCACCATCTTTTGGAGGTGATATTTTTCTCCTTTAATGAAGATGTGGTTTCTTGTATCTTTGTTAAAGCTCTAAAATGAGTGTGTCTTCTGTAAAGATACTTTCTCTCTCTCTCTCTCTGAAGGTTTGTGGTTTAAAATGACCTTTATTGGCAGCCAGCATCTTTTTTTTTTTTTATATGCATACTGTTTGACTTCCTCGTCTCTGTGTTGCAGAAGACAGGAAGTGTCCCAGGTACTTGATACAGACGGTTTGTTTGTTATATCCTGAAACTTGTCATGAGGTTGCACTTTGCAACTTTGTACAGCCTTTTTTTTTTTTACATGCAGATGAATCTGTCTGTTTTCTCTGATAAACCTTTTTGATTTTTTTTGTATCTGAATGTAGAAGAATTTCAGTTTTAATTCACGTAATGTTTGAAAAAGAGACACTTTGAGTTCATCTCAAACTTTTTTACTGAATAATTTGCTTTATTAAATGGAAAGTTTGGACCTTTTGAAGAGTTAAGACGTATTAGAATCATGTCTGTTGCGCTTAGCTTTTTTTTTTTTTTTTTTTTTTTTTTATCTCAGTTTGGAGCAAAAGAGTTTAAGTCTGACAGGATGGACAAGCTAACGGCTAGTCCATACGTGGCCAAGATTGAAGAGGCTTCCTGCCATGTTAAAGTATTTCAATCTTAAAACGTTTAAGGTAGTTCATCATGTGGATGCTATTTTGTAAATCTTTGTTTCCTGTACTTTCACACTACCGGTACATGAAATTCTGTGGTAATTTGAAACGCGGGATGCTATCTTTAGCATTTTTGGTGCAGCCTGGGTTCACTTCCTGCACAGAACAACCATGTAATGCAGAACTGATGATGACTTAAATATTTATTAAACAATGTTTGCATGAACTGCTCTGGAATTCAGAAGTTTGCAATCATTTAAACAACATTAATCCTGTTTGAAGCAGCTATCCATCCATCCATTGTCTTTTACCCGCTTCTTCCATTTTGGGTCACGGGGGTCGCTGGTGCCCATGTCCAGCAATCACTGTGCGAGGGGTGGGGGACACCCTGGACGGGTTGCAGGTCCATCACAGGGCCACATAGACACAAACAACCATTCACTCTCTCACTCACACCTAGGGACAATTTAGAGTTACCAATCAGTCTAACATGCATGCTTTTGGTCTGTGGGAGGAAACCGGAGCACCCGGAGAAAACCCACACATGCACGGAGAGAACATGCAAACTCCACCCAGAAAGGCCCCTGGACCGGGATTTGAACCGGGAACCTGCTTGCTGAGAGACAGCAGCTCTACCAGTTGCACCACCGTGCTGCCCTTGAAGCAGCTAACACAGACAATTATCAGTTATCGATAATTATCAGTAAGCCATTATCGGTTCATCGATTAAGCCAATTGAGGCTGCTTCATGTTTTTTTTTAACTTGTCAGTTTCGTATAACGTGTTCCGGTTTGTCTTTTACAGGAAATTGTTTAGTTTCTGCTGCACATGAAGTGCTACAGCTAGCTGCTGCTGCTATTTGCATTTAAAAATAATCATAAACATCTATGTAATAAATATGACTAAGCCCCTCCATTTGCAACTGGGTACTAGACTTCTTAACAAACAGACCACAATCAGTGAGGATCCATAACTTCTCCTCCTCCACCATAACCCTCAGCACTGGCTCTCCTCAGGGATGTGTGCTGAGCCCCCTCCTTTTTACTCTGCTCACATATGACTGCGCACCTACCCATCCAGGCTGTCACATTGTAAAGTTTGCAAATGATACAGCGGTGGTGGGATGCATCACAAACAATGATGAGACCAGCTACAGGCAAGAGGTGGAACACCTGGAGAGCTGGTGCAAGAGAATAACCTTCATCTTCAATGTGAAGAAAACAAAGGAGATGATTGTGGACTTCAGAAGGAACAAAAACACCTACACCCCCCTGAACATAAGAGGATCTGCAGTGGAAGTGGTCTCCAGCTACAAGTACTTGGGTGTACACATGAATGACAACCTCAGCTGGAGCAACAACACCACCAGCCTGATCAAGAAAGCACAAAAGAGACTTTACTTCCTCAGGCGGCTGAGACGAGCTGGTCTGGGAAGCTCAGTCCTCACCTCCTACAGGTGTGCAGTGGAGAGCATCCTGCTCCAGCATCGTGTGGCATGGAGGCTGCACAGCTGCAGAAAGAAAAGCTTTGCAGAGAGTGGTGAAGGCTGCACAGAAGTCGGTTGGAGTCAGCCTCCCCACCATCACAGACATCTACACCTCCAGATGCAGGAAGAGGGCCACCTGCATCATGAAGGACCCCACTCACCCAGCATACACACTTTTTGCCCCGCTCCCCTCACGAAGGAGGTTAAGGAGCATTAAGTGTAGAACCACTAGACTGAGGAACAGCTTCTACCCTGAGACTGTTAGACTCATGAATCTCTAACCAGAATAATCACTGTGAAAAAAATCACATCACGTTGCCGCTGATCTGTTTCATATTGCTGCTGATCTGTTTCATGCTGCTGCTGATCTGTTTCATGTTGATGCTTGCTCATTTGCTCACACAGACTCATGTTTGTGCTGCTGTTCGACGTAATGTTTTTATGCTATTAGTGCTTAGTGAATTTTTAGTTGATGTTTTTCTTAGTTCATATCTTAGATGTTATCATTGTTTTTCTTTTACATTTTATTGTTGGATGTAACTGGGACCCTGTGTACATGATTTCACTCCACCACATGTACCACATGTGGTGTGAACGACAATAAAGAATCTCTGACTCTGAATTACCAGTAGCTATGAAATTAGAGTCTGTATAAAGATTTATAAACTAGCATCAGCCTGAATGATTGTGACATTTTTGAGATTTGACTTGTAAGACGAGGATAATCCACTTTGGTTTGTGAGCCGCTCAGACTAGCCATTAGCTCGTTATTCTGTTTAGAATTAAACATTATTTCTCCAAACTTGGGTCATACAAAGAGCAATCTGCAACAGGTAAGATATTATAGTTCACTATCTTTCCACAGAACCTCACATTAAAAGATCGGACCTATCAGTTTAAGCCAGTGTTTAAACCGAGTTGTTGTTTTGGAGTTGGAATTAAGTTGAGCTGAACACGAGGCCACAGAAAGCCCTCTTCTGTTCTTTTAGTGCCTCCGTTTGTAAAAGTCCCGTTGCAGTAATTTTAAACCTTTTTCTTTTTGTTCCTCAGAGCAGACAAGGAGTCATGGATTCGGTCGAAGTACGTAGAGAAGAAGTTTATCCAGAAGCTGCCGGAGACTGGCAGAAACCCCCTGCTGAGGCGATCCAGCGCCAGGAGAACCAGAGCTACGACGCAGGATCGGAATGTGCAGCGACCGCCTCTCAAACCCAAACCGAACCGAGCCACGCTGCCTCGGCTGACAGGTAAACCTCACACCACGCCGCAGAGACATGGATGTACTTGTTTACTCCAGCTGATCAAAAGAACAGATTTAGCTGTTTATCCAGCAAAACAAGATTACCCCAAAGATCTTGTCTGCTGTATTTGTGTTGTCAGCAGGATAAACCTTTTCTCTCTCCTTAGGGCTTAGCCCCAGCAACATTGTCCACAAGAACAATACTGGCTTTCATAAAGGTGAGATAAGTCGCACACACACAGAGGCTTTATCTGACTCGACAAGATAAAGCACAAAGTTAAATTTGAGCTTTCAAAAGTGCTAAAAATGTGACAATTCAGAACAAGCCTTCTCAGTTTTTCTTTAAAAAAATGAGCTGATGAAACTTCCCTCAGATGAAGAAGAGGAAGAGGAAGATCTCAGCGACCTTCACCCCGGGGCACTGTTGTATCGCTCAGCCGCTCTGCAGAACTTCCCCGTCATGGCCGACGCTCTGGCCCACGGAGCAGACGTCAACTGGGTCAACTTGGCTGAGGAGTCGAGCACGCCTCTGATCCAGGCCGTCTCAGTGGTGGGCAGAACCTTCAGATCACTTATTTCACCTGAACGAGCCTAGAAACCTTCCTGTTGCACCAATCATGTCAAATTCACTCCATACCATAAATATCTCATAAAAAACTGGATAACTGTGGCACTTTAACCTTCAGTACCTCATTTAATCAGTGGTGGGCACGGTTCCTCTAAACCGCCAATAGCTAACTTTTCATTTAGAAGATTAGCATTTTCGCTAACTTTGCTTTAGTGGAAATAACTTCTGCTAAATTTGTGTCTGGTAAGTTCAAGTCAAATTTTTTTTAAAGACAATTCTCCACATTAAAAGCAGAGAATGGTGGTTTACACAGAGCAATGCTATGTTATACTATGTAGAGCTAAGCAAAGCTAAGCACTGTCCGGTGAGGTCACCACCCTCGCAGTGTTTTTCCCCTTCATATCTACTGCAAACAGTCTCTGACTCACAGTGTCAGTTTACAGCCAATAACAGAGACTTTAACATAAATACCAAACCAGAACAGGAAAATATCAAAAACCCATTTTCTCACTCGGAAACATTGCAAACATAATTCCTACCCAGCATGCTTTGCAACACTCACATCGTCTCTGGGACGTGACTCTCTCACACACACGTCTTTACTTTAATACAAACAGATTTATTACAGAGAGAATATTGATGATGACGCACAGCAACTTTGTAGTTAGTTTATCAAAGTAGTTAACCAAAAAAGTATTGCCAAAGTGAGTTACTGTAATTTATTATAATGAATGACACGAAGGGGACGTCCAACAAAACATTGAATGCATCACTCTGTTTCAGCACAGCAGAGTTCTGCACTGCTATTTTGGTTCTGATGGACTGGATTAATTTCTGAAAGTTCACCTCTGAACAGGACATGGATGCTTTACTTGTGATTTATGAACCATTTTAAGTTGTGTTGACTACGTTGTCACATTATAGACAATCTTACAGTGTCCGTGACAGCAGTATATGATAAAAGTTAGAGTTTTAGTGTTGGCTTCTGATACTTTTTTTTTTTTTTTTTTTTTTATCGGTTTAGCATTAGCTAAGCTAATTTTGTTTTAGTAAGCAAATTGGTGGTTAGCATAGCTAACTTTTTGGTTAGCTGTGCCCACTACTGCATTTAATACATATTGACCAGAAAGATTTGATTTAGTCTTTTTGTGCGAAAGGGATTTCCAATTACTTTCACATTTTGGCCTTATGTTATTTCTCAATTTCACTAAAAGTTTTTGTTTGTGAAACTCCTACTTACTTTATAAATTAAAAATGTTTATTACAAATTTTCACCTAAGAACATTGCCATTATTTTACCGACGCAGTGCATTCTGGGGCAATGACGTACATCGGTTGTAGTGGAGACTAAAGCATGAATCAAGGCTAAAAATTTATAACCTGACAATAAAGTTGTATTTTGTATTAGTCTTTATACACAGTATATGGGTCAAAACCAGGGCTTAATTTGAGCCGGATCCTGTCAGAACAGGATCCGGGAACTCTCTTATTTTGATAAGGTTAATTCCGGTAACTCTTTGCTTGGATCTGGTAACTCTCAGGCTTACTAATAATAAAGTTATGAACAAATATGACTGTCTTAAACTAATAAAACTTATATCGGATATGTAAACTGAAAATAATTATATCCTGATGCATGCTCAATAATCCAGGTAGAAAAATAAAAATAAAAAAAAGTTGGGTCCTCTGGACATTCAAAAAACAAAATAATTAATTAATAATTATATAAACACTAATTTTAAACACAACAGACAACACAACACGATTTCCTAATATCATACGATCATCTGCCCCTTCAAGTGAAGCATTTCCGCCCCTAAAAGAGTGGTGGTGGGGGGGGAGTGCCTGGACGTTTCACACGTGGAGTCAGACAGTGAATTCAGCAGAGAAGAGTCGGCTCAGAACCGTCAAGTTGGGTGGGGGGGGGGGGGGCTGTTTACAAATGTAGGTAAATGTAGATGTTTAACCTGATAAAATACACCAAAATGCAGAAAATCATATCTACTTTATTCAAAATTTTCTGGGGGAGGACCCCCAGCCGGCCGGCCCGCTATTTACATTCCGGCATCGAACAATTTACAAATTAAACCCTGGTCAAAACAATCAAACGTGATCAACTTGTGGTATTTATATTTAATTTAATAGCTCTGGAGCTAATATTATTAGCTTTGGAGCTAACACCATTCAACCTGCCTATGTTATCTACCCAGAATGCATTGCAACACAAATAAAATGGCAATGCTTGTGTGTCGATAATTTAAAAAAAATACATAAAAACACAACAGCCTACATTTCTTATGGTCTTTTTATAGCTAAAGTAATTGTTTATCAAAAAAGGTCAATAGGTCAAACTAGTTGGAGATTCTTTTTACTTTGAGTTGACCACGTGGTAAAATGACCTCTTTTGTTCAGAACGCCCTGGCAGCCTGCGAGTTCCTGCTGCAGAACGGCGCCAACGTCAACCAGGTGGACAGCAGCGGGCGAGGGCCGCTGCACCACGGCACCATCCTCGGTCACACGGGGTACAAATATACTCACACACACGCTGTCATACATCAAACCAGTTAACCAAATTGCTTGAGCTGTAGCACAATCAAACAATCGAGGGAAAGGGAGACACTAACTTGTGCAACGATGCAACAAAATTAAACCTTTCTATTGCTTCATCTCTGCAATGGCTGACAGCAGGGTGTATAGGCTGAATCCCATTTCACCTCTTACTTTTTAGTCCTACCTCAATGTTTTGCACGTTAACGCCACATTGATCCTTTAAGTAATGTAAACTGACGGCAAAGGGGCAGGGAGTGACTGCTGTTAGCGTGATTTGGAAATGGAAGCATCCGTGCAAGAGCTTACCTCATGGGGTGAAGATGATCAGGAGACGACTCATGCCGTGTACCGTAAAATCTTGGACGACAACTTCTCTTCCTTCAACCAGAACACTGAAGATGGGTCTTCAAGCATGACATTGACCCGAAACATATCGCCAAGACAATGTAGGAGTAACCTAACCTGTCTCCAGACGTCAGTTTTGTAGAAAATCTACAGTTGAGTTCAGGCCAAGAAACCTAAAGAATTCAGAGTTCCTGTAAAGAGGTCAGAATCCCTCCTGAGATGTCTTCAAACCTGGTGACCAACTGCAAGATACTTCTCCCCGCTGAGCTTCACAATGAAAGGTTCTCCAAGTACAAAGTCACGTTTTGTTTGATGGCCAAATACAGCAGTCCCTCACTTATCGCAGGGGTTACGTTCCAGACACCCTCACAATAGGTGAAAATCCACGAAGGACATTATATTTATTTTAGTATTTATATATATTTTAAGGCTTTAGAAGCCCTTCCCACACTTTTGCAATATTATTAAGAATGTTCTAAATGCTCTAAAAGAGCACAGCGAAAGAGAGGGAGGCTTAGTTCGGTTGCGCTTGATTATTTTAAATAAACAATCCATGCCGCTCCTGCAGCTCACTCGGGTATAAGACAGACTTCCCGCCCCCTCCTTTCTTTTATTGAGGCTGTCTGTTGTGCGCCCGCCTGTTGTGTGTCTCTGCTCTGCTCTCTGCTGCCTCAAAAAGAGAAAGGAGGGTGTGCCACTCATCCCTGCTGCCTGAGCAGTAGTGATGGGGAAAGACAGACCCCACCCCCTCCTTTCTCTTTCTGAGGCTGTCACAGCAGAGCAGACAGACAGCCTCAGAAAGAGAAGGGAGAGGATGGGGTGGGGTCTATCTTTCCCCATTGCCAATTGTGTGTCGTGTACAATCTTACATTGAAAACCCACGAAAGAGTGAGTCTGTAAAAGTCAAACTGTAAAGTATTGAGGGACTACTATACTTCTTTCACTCAATATCACAAAAATCAGTTTGTAACTTTTATACTTTTTTCATTTTAATTGGTATTCTGTTTCTTGCTGTAAAAATTAAAGAACATTCTTTTATCAATTTGTGTTTTTGTAGGCTTGTTTGTCTCTTCCTGAAGCGAGGCGCCGACTACAACGCCCGAGACAAGAACCAAAAAGACCCCATAACCATCGCTGTGGACAACGCGAATGCCGACATCGTCACCCTGTGAGCGTTTCCCGCCAAGAAAAACTGAACAGCCCAAAGAAGAAGAAACAGGAACTCCTCTGGCTTATCCTCTTTTCTTTTTTTTTTACCTTTCAGGTTACGGATCGCCAAAATGAACAAGGAGATGCGGGAGATGGACGGAGCGTTCGGCCAATCAGGTCATTCAAAGGATCAGGGGTCCGGGGAGGTACTGGGGGGTGCAGGAGGTGGTCGGGGAAGGAAGAGTCTCCAGGCTATCAAGAATCATATCAGTGGCTGGGCTCTGGGGGGACTAGCAGAGCTAAAATGACAAGATGAAAAATAAATAATCTAATTGTAGATCAAGAAGTTACAGCACAAAGGTACAAAGACCAAAAAAGAAAATACGCAAATTATTCAAACGTATTGAAGCTCAGATGAAAAAAGCTCCACATGCACTTTGAATTTTAAATGCTGCACTTTGAAACCTACAAACTCTTCAAACACGTGGTCAATAATGAAAGCAACATGTATAATATATTTAACAGGCCTTCATCGGGTCTATTTAAAGTATTTTTGGATATTTTGATCCAGTGTGCACAACGTTTTCACATTTTAACAAAGTTTTTAATGTTTTGTAGTGTGTTGGTTTATCAGTTTAGTTGTGTAAGCTGAATTCAGTGTTGGGTTTGGTGCTGAGTGATGAGTTTCCCTCACCATTCTGTGAATAGGGAGGGAATTTAAAGGGATGTTTTGTAGTGGGGTTCTGTGGAGAAGTTCTAATCAATTAACATCTTACCCGCTGTAGATAGCTCTGAACAACCTCAGTTTGGAGAAATAATTAATTCAGATTGATGAGCTAATGGCTTTCATTAAAGCTCAAATTAAACGCTTTTATAAAGATTTACAGTGTTGTTGTTTTTGCATGTAGCAGCTAGCTGTGGCATTTCCTGTGCAAACACTTTTAGGCTATCACAATATTTGTCATTGCTGTAATCCTGCAGTTAGAAGGTTCTGGTTTTGACTCTGAACTGGGACTTTTTTGCGTTCTCTCTGGGATCTGGGTGCAAATGGTTTTCTCAAAGTGCCCCTGTGGTGGACCGGTGACCCCGGCACGTTCTTTTAACTTAAACTGTTTTCGCTCCACTAATGGGGAAAAATACTACCATATTTTCCGCCGTACATGTCGCACCACCCTATAAGTCACAACCGTCCAAATATGTCTAAAAAAGTGGAAAAATCCATAAATATGTTGCTTCACCGTATATGTCGCATCTATTATGCGTTGCCGCTGACGCGTCGCGTTTGTTACGTGTCACCGCTGACAACCCGGAAATGTGGGACAGTGTTGTGCCAAAAATCGATTGGCTGCCAAATGTCGGCTGCGAGAGCGTGCACAGGACTTTAACAAAATTAACACTTAAAAACAATTATTTGTTTGCTCAAAATTATAGCACAGGTGTGTCTCAGATGAACTTTTACTTAATAAATGCACTTTAATGGTCAAATTAGCTGCATTTCACCTGGGCAGCGCAGCTTGTTTGACTTGTTCCAAGCAGTGAGCAGAAGGAAGGTGGGAGGCTATGGCAAGCTGATTGTGTCATTAATAGCTGGTGAAGCTCCTCAGTCATCCAGGACATGGTAAATTCAAAATAGTTCAAGACAATAACAAAGTGTAAAGTATAATAAATAAAGTTCAGTTGTTTTTGTCTTGAACTTTTTTGAATTTGTCATCATAGCCACATTTACCTATTACATGATACAATGGCATGCCATACTGCTACTACTACTACTCTGCTGCCATCTAGTGGCTGAAAATGGTACTGTTCTTTTTTTTTCAGTCAGAATGAATGAAAACAGTCATATCTCAGCCAAAAGTAGGCTTATAAATATGGGAAAAAATCCATAAATATGTCGTTTCGGCCAGTAAGTTGCAGGGCATGTAAATTATGCTAAAAACTGTGACTTATATGCCGAAAAATACAGTAATTTTTATCAATTCTGGTGTTACTTTTGTAGGTCACGATATATTGATTTAATATTCAAACGCTAATCTGTCCACCCTCGTCCCTCTCCTTCTTGTGCTTACTTTCGGGTTGGTCCAACTCAGCTGCTATAAACCCCGCTAGCTTTACAGACCAGACAGCTTTCAGCTGTGGTGAAGAAGAAAACAGCTAAAGGGTTTTTTTTGTTTTTTTTTTTAAATAATAAATAAATAAATAAAAGAAAAAAGAAAACGGCTAAAGTTATTTTGGTGAGCAATTCAAAGCAAGGTTGTAGAAAGCAGGGGTGCTGAAGGTGCTGCAGCACCCCCTGATGGATGCAGAAAGACGTGTCCAAATACATAGTTATGGAAGTACATAATGAGTTTTTAAAAATGAGTGAAACGGATTTCATTACGGCTGCATTTAATGTTTGTGACAACGTTTAGACTTGAATCAGATGAAATTTGAGTTAAAAATTAGCCTTTCGAAAATATCCATATAACATTTTAAGGTTTTCTGAAACTGAACCAAAAAACAAACTTGAAAGCAGTTCTTAGAGACATTTTTGGTCAGCTGTAGGTCTCTTTCAGACCAGCCGTTAGCTCATCAAGCTAGTCAGAATTAACTATATTTATCTTGAGGGCTATCTACAGCAGGTAAGATGTTGACTGTTCACAATTGCTTTACAAAACCCCACGTCTAACCATGTGATCTGTCCCTTAAAGCATTCCAGCTGTTACATTAGACTTGTTTTTATTTAAAATATTTTTCATGTAGGGGGCCAGAGTGTCTCTGTTCTCCTGGATCTTCAGGTCAAAAGGAGGTTTTTGTAGCATTTTGTCATTTAGCTCCTTTTCAAGCTGCGAAATCCATTCTTCCACGACTGCTCTTGGGAACTGTGTTTTTTTGTTTGTTTTTTTTTGGGGTGGGGAGTGTCAGTCATGAAGGAATGGAGACGTGTTTGTCTGCTGCTCAGTATTTGAAAGTGCTCTGCTTTTTTGTTGTTTTCGCCCTCTGCCCGCTGAGATGTCCATCTGGTCTCAACTGCTTGTGCAGTGTGGCGCCCTCAGCCAAGCGAGAGGTAAATTGCATGTGCATGCCATGTTTTGTGCGTGTTGCATGCTTTATTTGTGCTCCTTCCTTTGAGGCTTCAACTCAGAAGGTGTTGGGAAACAAACTGAGTTATTAATTTTTTGGCAACTAATGTTAAAACATCTCCTCCGTCTGTAGCTGAGGCTAAAGAGAAGTGAGGCCGTTCTCCCCCTCATGTCGTCTTTTTGTTTTTCCAGGTGATGAAATCTACCAGGACATTTTCAGAGACTTTTCACACATGGCCTCAAATAACCCCGAGAAGCTGAAGCGCCGCAGCGCAGACCCTAAATCCTAACCAGCTGCTGGCACCGCCGCCTCCTCCATCTGTGCACCGTCTGAGTGTTTTCACACACACACTTCCTGGATACCTGCCACTTGTTGGGTCAGAGCTCAGCTGGTGCCGACTTCAGACGGGACCAACGCTCCAAACAGCCAATTCTTTGAGCTCACGTCACAGAGGAACAATGGTGTCCGAGTGGAAACAGTGGAGCAGCTTCATGAGGGGGGTGTGTCCCACAGAGGCCACAGCTCTGCCAGGAGGCATGTATACAACCCAATAAATCTGATTTTTCTTTTTGTTCTTTTAAAATGAAAATGTTTCATGCTTTGATTCAATACCAACTTTTTACATGAAAATAAAATCAAATGTTTCTTATAAATGTCTTTACTTTTTTCCCAGTTGTCTCCAATAAACCCGTAAGATTGCCAGATTGTTTTACATTACAAACAATATTTAAGTTTTATTTTTGTCCAAGTAAGGATTAAAAAGTTTGTATTGAGTGAATAAACCACAGAGCAAATGCATGTTTAAGTTAATCAAATGTGAAACTGACCTAGTCAGGGTGTATTTAAAATTGATGTTTTACCAGTGAATGTCCAGCAGAGGGCAGCACTACTTTAATTATAAAAGCCAACAATTTTAAAAGGTGCTCAAAGAAAACTATTCTGAATTTTAATCAGATGGTTTAGTTTGAAAGAGTTTTCTCCTGTAGTTCTCCAGATGTGACAAACTATCGGTTGGTTTACTAATTACCTGTCAGATCGAAGGCAATGTGCAACATAATGGTACTTCTTCCAGCTATTCAACTGTCAATAATGGTGTACCACAAGGCTCAGTCTTAGGTCCCACCCTCTTCACAATCTACATAAATGTAGGTCAGATCATTCCTTATGCAGCCTTACATTCCTATGCCGACGACGACACAGTTTATTGTTGCGCTAAAACAGTTGCTAAGGTTTTCCAGCTTTTACAGTCTGCTTTCAACATCATCCAGTCCGATCCGTTGTCTCAAACTGGTGCTAAATGCTGATAAAAACCAAAGGGATGCTGTTTTCAAACAGGAAGTCAGTACCAACAGTTCTATTTTATCTACAAATGCTGTTCCTAGAGTTTGTTGATTCTTACATATACTTGGGTGTCTTGGTCAATGCACAGCTCTCTTAAGCCTCATGTCAAAAACTTGGTAAAGAAATTGAAATTAAAATTGGGTTTCTTTTTTAGAAATGGATCCCAACTTTGATGCTAGGAAACTCCTTGTAAACGGCTACTTTCCTTCCCTCCATTGACTATGGTGACATTATTTACATGAACGCTCCTACAAGCACCCTGCAGATGTTGGTCACTGTCTATCGCGGTGCACTAAGATACATAAATGGCTGCAACTACCGCACCCACCATTTACTGGTTAACTGGTCATCATTAACTTCACACAGTCTCTCACTGGTACATTTTCATTTTGAAATCACTTTTTGGTCTGTTGCCTTCATACATCTATACGTCTCTGCGTGAGTGCAGCTACAGCATGCACTGTCAGGACATCATTACCTGCAGCGTCCCCTCAGTGCAGACGGAATTTGGCAAAGAGGCCTTCTCTTACTCCGCTCCCGTTTCCTGGAACACCTTGCAAAAAGATCTGAAGCTCTACTTTGATCTCTCTAAAAGGGATTTTAAACTACTGTTAAGTTCAATACAAAAATCAATGCAGACATGTTCCTGTTTTCAGTATTTTACACCGTTTCATAATGTTTTTTTGTATATTCTTTTATATGCTTTTCATTTTATATGCTTTCATGTGAATGTTTGTTGCTGTGTGTACCTCATCTGTGTTTTGTTAAAATCGGGTCTCTTGTAAACGAGTCCTCGTGACTCAACGAGACGAACTTGTATAAATAAAGGCTGAATGAATAAAATGCAGGTCTGCACTCAAAGTAAACAAAACCGACTCCGCTGAAAACCACGTGGAAGCTCGAGTCACGGTTTACAAAAGGCCGGCTGCGGTTTGTAAAATATGGGGGGCACATTTAAAGTTGGACCTTTTTTCTGTTACTTCGGCTGTTTTTGTAGGTAAACAAACTCTCCTGATAGTCCGCTTACACGTTTTTAATTTAATTTGTCGTTTCTGTTGCGCCTTCACAAAAGTGCAGCCAAATACCAACTGCAAATAAAAATAAAAAAAACAGTAATACATCCACTTCATTTTATTAAAGTTAAGAGCAATTTGTCTCATTTCTCCACATCAGTCTGCAGCTTGATTGCAAAATACGAAGCATTGAGTAAAGACCAATAACTTCAGTTCAAGTAGTACATTTATCTTTACACGGTGAACTACAGCTACAGTGTACTCAAAGTTGTGGCAGAGGGAACCCAGCGGGTCACGGTGACCCCGATGCAAACCTGGTCTTCGTCCAGCTGCTCCCGCAGCCGAACATCTCGGCTTTACAAAGGCTGCTTCGGCTTATGGTTTACAGCGGTTTGGAGAGTGCGTCCAAACAAAACATCGGAGCGCCTGAAAGTGCTTCACACAGAAAATCCTGCAGAGCGACAAAGCACCGACGGAGAGGTCAGATCTTTGAGGTCTTTGCAGCCAGATGAGCGTCAACTGAAAGCTTAAAGTGCCTGACATCCAATTTTTGTCATAAATATGAAGGTATTTTTTTTAAATAAATAACATATTGCAAAAAGAGATGAACAGTTGCTGAAATGTTGTCGTGCGCAGTAACAGGAAGTGATGCCTGCATGTGCATGCGTTGCTACGGTGGCTGACAACACAGAAGACTCTGATGCTTCTTTGGATTATTTAGTCGCTATCAGAGAAAGACAAGTTGGATCAAATATCGTTTGAATAAGAGCAGGAAGTTCCTCTTTTTAAAAAGAGTTCCCCTATGATGTCACTTCCTGTTTCACTTTGGCCACTAAGTTCAAAAGAAAATATGCCAGCTATGTGATAAAACGGGTAAAATTGTGTGTATTATTCCAAAATTTCTTAAATATTTCGATGTTTCCTTCCACTTTTTGTATTTGTAGGTTATACATGTCAGATTAAAGATGAGTGCAAGCATGCCGGTGTTTACAAACAAATTGAATTCGTCAACAAATCAACGGAGTCTGCAGAGTTGATCACCTTCAGAGAGGCGTTTTAAGATTCAGCAAGTTGTTCCCAAAACCGTTTCTGTACGCATGTGTGAGGAACTTTATTTTACAAAAAGACCAGAATGTTCAGTTCATTACCGAGTCCGTCAGCAAAATATCTCATGAAGCAGTGGATGAACTTGAATAAACCTGGACAGTTTTAAAGATGGAGCTAAAATTCGGTGTGGTAGTAGTTGAGGGTGATCCAGTCTGATGAGGGCTAACGTGAAGTTGTGGTTGAAAACTTCGACAGCAAGTGACGAGGATCATTTTAAAGAAGGCCGATTTCATTTAGATTGAGGTGGGCAACATTTTTTGTTTCGCCACATCGAAACGCTTACATCAATCAAACGGCCGCATAAAGAATTGGAAAATACATTTTATTTACGACAGACAAACTAGAAGACCTTTTTCTTATTGTAGCATAGTTAGCAGGATTTATAAAAACCCATCTTGTCAAAATCCTTCAGGAATATAAGACATTGTGTAAACTGGCTCTTGTGGCGTTATATTAAACATGTTAGCAGAAATATGCAAAACAAACATTTAATGTTCAGTGGAAACATGACTTAAAAACAGGTTTTACGCAAGATGTTTAATTTGATTTGTCTCATTTATATATATATATATATATATATATTTTTTTTTTAAGTCGTTTTCTTTTGAACCGAGGATACTGGGAGCCTGATGGAGATTATCCAAGGGCCACTTTTGACCCTCGGGCCTCAAGTTGTCCACGTCTGCTTTAGAAGCACCTTAATGAAGAATTTAATGTTCTGTTGAATTAAAACATTTGTTTTTGTTGATCTTTTTTTATATTTATGAAGTAACGGAAACGTACCAGTGGAACTACTGAACGTTGGAATTAAAATTTATAAGAAAAATCTTGGTTGGTGCTTAGAGTATGTGTTGGGGATGACTCTCAGCTACTACCACGCTACGTTTTGGCTGAATGTGTTAAATGACTGAGCTATAGCCATTTTTGTGTTTGTTCAAGTCCAGTAGCTTAGGCGGCCATCTTGATTTAGTTACTCCAAAAGGAGTTGCAGCTGTGATTGATGATCATATTATATTGTCTGTAGTTTCACAATGATTACTTTGAGTTTTGTTGAAATCCCTCCAGTGGTTCGTGAGATATTTTGCTAACAGACAAGCAAACCCTAAAACTTTTATGACGTGACATAATTGCACAAAGCAGCACTGTTACGGCTGCTTTTATATAGGAATGCAGGCAGCTCTCAATAAAAAAAATTAAAAGTTGAGTCCAGGCACCCACGAGATTTTTGGTCTGCAGACGTTTGAAACTTGAAGTTATTAAACACAAAGTGAGAATTTTTACAAAAATGTTCAGATTTAAACCCTGAGAGTCCGTCCTGTGAAGGTTGGTGTGGAAACATCCCTTTTGGTTTCTGCTCATCTATAAATATGTCGTGACGTAAAGTGCTCAAACAGCACAGTGATTATCGTCTGTGCTGCGTTCAGGGAACACGGCTTAGGTGGGTGAAGTGAAATCACGATGAGGTGAAATTTAAATGTGCGCAACGGAATCATATTTTATAGTCACATCAGGAGATTTCTGCCACCAGAATGTGCAAATTTTCTGACATTTTACCTGAAACTTGACTTTTTTCTGCACATTTTCCTTAAATCACTCCTTCTTTTTGGCACATTTCATCCAGAACATCACTTTGGTTGTGAGGTGCAAACACTCAGTGCAACACAACTCGTGCTGACGAAGTCCTTGAAGATGTCCCGTCATCTGAATTTCACCTCTCCGACTGTTCTGTCGTTCTGTGGATCGAGTCAGGAGGAACGACTTTCTTCTGCTCCTGCTCTTGATGTGACCTGAAGCTGTGAGGACGAGGTGGATCTGTGCAGGACCAGTAGTGAGGCAGAGTGGCCAAGGCGAGGCTCCCGAGGATCAGGAAGGAGCCGGCCACCATGAAGGAGGCCACGTAGTTTCCTCTAGTGTCTCTGAGCCACCCTAAAATACAAAAGACGGATAAAACATCAAAATGCTAACATTAAGAAACAGAATGTGTTGCCAAGTTAACATTCTTCTTTTTCTTCTCATTTTTTGGATTTTTCATCTTCAGGGGTCTCAACAGTCATCCTTCTCCACCTCACTCTGACCTCTGCATCCTCTGTCCTCACTCCAACTACCTCCATGTCCTCTCCAACTGCATCCATATATCTCCTCTGTCTTTTTCCTGGCAGCTGCATTTCCAACATCCTTCTACCAGTATACCCCCTGTCCCTCCTCTGGACATGTCTAAACCATCTCAGTCTGGTCTCTTTCACTTTATCTCCCAGTTGTTCAACCTGTGCTGTACCTCTGATGATCTCATTCCTAATCTTCTCCATCCTTGTCACTCCTAAAAAGAACCTCAACATCTTCATTTCTGCCACTTCCAGTACTTTCTCCTGTCTTTTTGTCCATGTCTCTGTCTCCAGACCATACAACATAGCTGGTCTCACCACTGTCTTGTAAACTTTTCCTTTGACCTTTGTTGACACCTTTTTGTCAAATCACTCCTGAAACTTTTCTCCATCCACTCCATCCTGCCTGGACTCTCTTCACCTCTTTACCACATTCTCCATTTTCCTGGATAGTTGACTCCAAGTAGTTGAAGTCCTGCATCTTTGTGACCTTTGCTCCTTGTAGCCTCACTGTTCCATCGGCCTCCCTCTCATTCACACACATGTACTCTGTCTTACTACAGCTAACTTTCATTCCTCTTCTTTCAAGTGCATACCTCCACCTCTCCAAATTCTCTTCCGCCTGTTCCCTGTTCTCACCACAGATCACAATGTCATCTGCAAACATCATAGTCCGCGGGGATTCCTGCCTGACCTCATCTGTTAGTTGGTCCATCACCAGAGCAAACAAGAAGGGGCTCAGAGGTGATCCCTGATGCATTCCCAAAACCACCTTGAAGCTATCTGCCACTCCTACAGCACATCTCACCAGTGTCCTGCTGTCCTCATGTCCTGTACCAGTCTAACATACTTCTCTGCTACTCCAGATTTCCTCATGCAATACCACACCTCCTCCCTCGGCACCCTGTCATATGCTTTTTCTACATTCACAAAGACACCGTGAAGTTTTCATCAAAGTTCATGCTCAGTCATCCAGGTACAAAATCCAGTAATGCTTAGTCAGGTCATCTGGACAGTTTCTTTTTTATGGAAAAACGTTTCGCCCTCTATCCGGAGGGCTTCATCAGTCTGAGGAGTCCCAAGTAAACAGTTTCCCCACCATACAGTACACTCTTGAAGTGGACCAACAAGTTTGCTGGAGATATGATTTCTGGGGGCTGTCCTGTCCCCCGTCGACTCCTCCCAGGCAGGCAGCCACAGACTGATGAAGCCCTCCGGATAAAGGGCAAAACATCTTTCTACAAAAAAGAAACTGTCCAGATGACCTGACTGAGCATTAATGGACATCATGAAGCTCTTTCCAACCCTCTCTGTACTTCATCAGCATCTTCAAAGCAAAGCTGACATCTGTGGTGCTCTTTCTTGGCATGAAATCATCCTGCTGCTCACAAATACCGATAGTCATCTCTCATCTAAGTCTAGCTTCCACAATTCTCTCCCAGATCTTCATCGTGTGGCTCATCACCTTAATTTCCCTGTAGTTGCTACAACTCCGTACATCACCCTTGTTCTTAAAAATGGGCACCAGCACACTTCTCCATTCCTCAGGCATTTTCTCACCCTCAAATATGCCATTGAATATTTGAGTCAAAAACCTCACTGCCATCTCTCCAAGACATTTCCAGACCTCAACTGTATGTCATCAGGTTCTACGGCCTTCCTCTTCTTCATTCTTTTCAGAGTTTTCCAGACTGCACCCTCACTTATCTTTCCCACTTCCTGGTCCACAGGTTCTATAATCTCTACTCTTATTTTCCTTTCATTATTTTCATTCATTGCCTCCTCAAAGTTCTCCTTCCATCATGCTCTCCTCACTTGTTAGAATATTACCATTCCTATTTTGACAAGCCTAACCTGCTGCACATCCTTTCCAGCCTGATCCCTCTGCCTTGCCAATTGGTACAAGTCCTTTGTGTCCAGCCTCATCATACACCTTCTGTTTAGCCAAGCTGAGAACATTAACTTCATGTAACCCACATTTAATGTTTAGCTACATTTGGTTTCAGCATTAACTTGTGTTTTTGGACTGATTTAGGACCCTATGGATGATGAACTGAGGTCCAACACAGACATCTATACAAATGGTTCTCTTTATCCCTTTTGTAGTGAACTAAGCCTCAGGTCAAAACCTGGACCTTCCTGGGACAGGAACTGTTATTTCATTGACTTGAGTCCAGAAACACAAATTAAGCTCATCCAGAGACTTCTAAGTGTGTCCTGCACTAATCAATTGAAAGAACACTCTCTTTTTTATTATCATTACTATTTTACAATATCTTGATAATCAAAGTGTGTTTAGTTCAAATCATTTTTAAATGAAGTGAACTACTCATTTTAAATCAACTGTGAAACAGTATTAATGATTTTTAATCCTCATTCAAAGTAGAAATCAAGTTAATGAATTCCTACCTGACAGAGGCGTCCCCAGCAGTCCTGCGCTGCTCTCAATAAGCTGTAGCAACCCGAGGCCCCCCATCACCCGCTTCACGCCCACAATCATCGGCACCACGGCGAACACCAGAGAGGTCAGCGCTCCCGAGCTGAAGCCATACAGAAGGCTGATCGCCACCAGTGCAGTGTAGGAGCCAGTTAAAGTGCTCACGGGCAGCAGCATGATGAAGGTGCCTGCCAAAACTGTCCACATGGTCAGTAAGTGAATGAACCGAAAGTGGCCCAGGTCAGAGAACCAACCTGACACCACCCGGCCCAAAATGTCCGTGGCTCCTGCAGCAGACATGACAAAAGCAGCCTGGTACTCCGAGAAGCCAACCTGGCGACTGTGGGCGACCAGGTGGAAATATGGCACAAAGTAGCCAAAGTTGAAGAGAGTCACAGCTAAAGTGTAGGTGATGTAAGGCCTCTCGCAGAGCAGAGACAGCTCCAGGTGGGAGAAGACCCTCTGCAGCATGTTACAACATGTCGATCTACTCTGTGAATCCTCCTGCGGCAGAAAATAAGATTGTTAATGTTCATCATCTCATACGCCACAAAACACAACAAGGATCAGGACAAAACATCTTTTAGGAAAACTACCTGCTACAGAAACAGTGACATGTCTGGAAATCGTCATTTTTATTCACCCAGACTGTTTTTTATTCTTTAAACTACAGGTGTTTGCATTAATATCTTCATTTTCATCTCCTCCAGCTGACCCTCAACTAAATTCACATACATGCAGTTTATCAAATTCACATTTCAGATTAGTTGCAGCACTAATAAAAGTTTTTGTAATAAAAGACACTTTAGCCCCAAAACAGAGATTATTAATCTCCATTCATAAATAGTTTACCTTCATGTTTTTGTATCATAAATCACAATTTGTCTGTCTGTTGTTTTTGTTTAAAATGAAAACTGAATGTTTGTTTATTTTTCATTAATATTATTCATTTAGTCATTCTGAAGTCAGAAATTTTATATATATATATATATATATATATATATATATATATATATATAT